TATTGAAGAGGATAGACATAGAAATATTGAAAGGAACCAAAATGTACAAAATGAAATATGAAATTGAAACTGAGTATATCTATAATGAAATGTACAAACAAATGTGTAAATATAAACTTAGCAAAATTTGTTTAATAAGCGATGCAACTATGAATTGAATCTACGTTAAAGGAACTCCACTAAGGTCCAAAATCCTAGGAACATAAAAATTTGAATGTTGTTGATGGATAAGCTGGGGCACTTAAAACAGAAAGATATGCAAAAGATGATTAAGAAATACCCAAAAATAAATTCAAAATTGTATTTTTTTGCTATTTTCAACCTGATATAAGTAATAAAATGTTGAAACACTTTTAAATTTTTGGTCATTTTCATAAGAAAAAGAATTATACTGGAAAAACGGAGTGAGCTAATAATCTGAATTTTTCACACATATTACTGGTCGATACCTATATCAAATGGAACATTAATCTCAAAAAATAATTTATAGTATTGTCATGTCAAAAAATACGTCAGTGGAGTCCTTTTAATACATTTGTTTTAATTATTTTACACTGAAACATATGTGTATGCATAATAATTTATAAATGAATACATCTTACTTTTCTGTACTTATTGTACTGCTAAAATGTAACTTGGCAATGAACATGTATATATTTTTGCTAATAAAACATTTGACTTGACTTCGAAAATTTAACAAATGGCATAGATAATTGTATTTCTTACCAGCTTTATATTTTAATGACAGAAAATTTCCAAAGTTATTATTGTAGAAATTTAATTAAGAGTAAGAGTACTACTTTGCCTGCTGTACTGCATGTAAAAATTGGGCAAATAGATATTGTGACAATTATTCTTGTCCAGTTATATTATAATTGGTTTGAACATTTAAACAGAAGTACAGTTGACTCTCGATAACTCGAAATCCAAGGGACTGGGCATTTTACTTCGAGAGAAACGGAATTTGAGTAACGTGGATCTGCCGCCATTACGTTGACATTCGTACATGTATATACATGTACCTGATTGAATGTGCAAAGAAGTAGGTTTGTTATTGTTGATAGCGGCAATGCTGCAATATTTAACCGTTGAAATGACTGTAAATCACTTACAAATACAAATAATAAATGAACAAAAATATATTATTCAAAATTTAATACATGTATATTAAAAGTGAAATATAAACACAAGCATTCGTAGCAATGACATAAATGCAAGTTTGTCAGTATCCATCAGTACTGCACATGCTTTTAATACGCACTCATGGTAATTCATGTTACAATAAAAGCACAATAAACACATTTATTTCAACAACAATATATCTAATGTTTGAAGTAAATTGATCATCGACGAAAACGAAAGTAGCAACTATAGTGAACTGGAAGTACATATTAATGTATGCAATATGACGGAAAATTAATTATAAAAAATGTCATTTACGTTGAAAACACACATCAATACCTAGGCTGGTACAATTAAATTAATTAAATCTTAATTTACTTATCTAACTGTTAAAACCAATTAAGTCCTGAAACCGATTAAAGCCACTTTCAAGACGTGCTAATAATACATGAATGACCGGCAATTAAAATTACTATGAAACGTGTGAATAACGAGTGACATCATCTCAACTTGATGTCGCAGACCTTTGATCAGTCGGCTGTTTTCACACTTCGACTAATTGAGATGAAAAATATGTTGGACTTTTAATTGACGGGACCAAATTTTCTTTTCGACTAAACAGGAGTCTCGGTAAGTCAAAATTTGACCTAAGCGGAGTTAAAATACAAGAGATAAAGAAGGAAATTTGACGGGACTTTAGAAATTCTTCGACTAACGCGGAATTTTGAGTAAAGCGATTTTGACTTATTGAGAGTCAACTGTACATATAAATGACCAGGCAACCACAGTGAATGACTCACAGCCTCAAACTTGTGTACCAGCTGCATAACTAAGTTGTACAGAGGTATTGTTTGTTTGTTTGTTTTGGATTTTACATCACATCAACACATTATAGGTCATATCGAGACATTCCAGCTTTACTGGTGGAGGAAGACCTCAGGTGCCCTTCCGTGCATTATTTCAGGCACGAACGGGCACCTGAGTAGAACCACCGATGTTCTGTTAGCCAGCTGGATTTCTTCCTCACATGAAAGAATCCAAAGTCCCTGTCGGGATTCGAACCAAAAGCGGTGAGGAGAAGTGTCGATACAGTGGAATGGAATCAGAAATTATCTTGTAGAGCTCATCAGAAAAAATTATAAACATATATATGTTCCCTCACAAAACTTTCTTCATATATGGTACAAACTTATAATTTTCTGCTACTCATTTCTATCAGTTGAGTTGTAATTTTGGCACACCTGCTACTGGAGTTTATCACTGGAGTTAGAACACTCTGATATAACTGATTCTGAATTCCTTGAACACCTGCTACTGGAGTTTATCACTGGAGTTGGAACACTATGATATAACTGATTCTGAATTCCTTGAACACCTGCTACTGGAGTTTTATCACTGGAGTTGGAACACTATATTATGAATTCTGAATTCCTTGAACACCTGCTACTGGAGTTTATCACTGGAGTTGAAACACTATGATATAACTGATTCTGAATTCCTTGAACACCTGTTACTGGAGTTTATCACTGGAGTTGGAACACTATATTATTGATTCTGAATTCCTTGAACACCTGTTACTGGAGTTTATCACTGGAGTTGGAACACTATGATATAACTGATTTTGAATTCCTTGAACACCTGCTACTGGAGTTTATCACTGGAGTTTGGGAACACTATATATAACTGATTCTGAATTCCTTGAACACCTGCTACTGGAGTTTAATCACTGGAGTTGGAACACTTATGATATAACTGATTCTGAATTCCTTGAACACCTGCTACTGGAGTTTATCACTGGAGTTGGAACACTTTATATTGATTCTGAATTCCTTGAACACCTGTTACTGGAGTTTATCACTGGAGCTGGAACACTATGATATAACTGATTTTGAATTCCTTGAACACCTGTTACTGGAGTTTATCACTGGAGTTGGAACACTATATTATTGATTCTGAATTCCTTGAACACCTGTTACTGGAGTTTATCACTGGAGTTGGAACACTATATTATTGTTTCTGAATTCCTTGAACAGTTGCTACTGGAGTTTATCACTGAACTTCTATTGATGAATTTCTCATTGTTGTAGATTTTTGGATCCCTACAGTTTAAGTGTCATCAATTAGTCCACTAGAATGTCTCATTCCATTTTCATGTTGAGAAAAACAAATGTCAATTCACTGTCCTCCCAGAAGTTTGTGTCTCTCTGATAATAAAAGAAATATATATTAATATCACTTATTATTATCTATTTAGGAAATAGATAATATTTCGAGTGTATTGTTGTAAAATAATGCAGGCTTTCAGTTAAAATGTGCAGGAGTATAATCACAAAGACCGATATGCCTGAGCGATAAATTGGAAAGCATTTGAACGATAAACCATGCATTTTTATACTACAATGAAAGAAAAATTAATATCTATTTCTATTCATATATGCTTTTTAAAAGAGAATTCATAAAAATATGTAGAACTACATTGAGCATAAAAGTAATTTCCTTGACGTCATTTGTTCTGATTTTACATTTTAACTTTTGCATGTAATATGCATATAAAATGTTCCTGTAACAATAAATTGCAGGAAAATTATGTAAACAATGAAATCACCCTGAAATAATTTAATTTGACAAACTTATATGATTTCATGTTTTTCTAAGTTCTAGTAATTTTATTCTACATGTATTAACTTTAAATTTCTATAGATACAAACATGGATAATGCAAAAGAAATGCAGTGTTATATTTTTGCTTAAGAAACGTTTTCAGTATTAATCCTCAACATACTAGATATCTGTACTGAACTTGTCCATTTCTCAATATATATATTACCATTCATTATTGTACGGACTATAATATTACACGCAGACCATCTTGGTCTGCATGGTGCAAGCAGGCTTAAGTTTAGTTAATACATTAGTCATTTTTTATATTCATATGCTGATTAAATGCTGGATAAAAACAAATTATTTGCATCATCTTATTGCAACACAAATCACATACATTACTGACATTCACAAATAAATTGTAATGGTAATAATAAACTATTTCAATAATCGCGAGCATTTGATTTACCTGATAGAAATATCATGTTCATTTTGTAAATTGACTAAATTAATATATGAACATGGAAAAATTAAGAAATTGGTACTATATATTTTAATGGTAGTGAAACTTGTTTACTAAACCATCTGTTGGTTTTGCTGTTTGAAAGAAGTTAAAATCATGCAACACTTTTACCAGGAATTTTCTCAGCTGATAAATTTGCTTTGAACAGCAGTCTCTAATGACTAAGAGATCTTAAATATATATCTATTGAGTTTCAAGTGAATACCTTCAATATTTTTGAAAACTGTTGTCTATGTAAAACATACAAAATAAATACATACAGTCAGAGCCTTTCTCCAGCTATTTTGGGGAAAAAAATCCCCTGACTTAAATAGATGAAAATTATGCATCAGTTTCATTCTAAGAGTAATTAACATATATATTTACCAATTGATCTGTATATGTAAGTCTTTTTATAAAAGGAACATATCTTAAACTTCACAACAGTAGAATCAGTTTCATTCTAAGAGTAATTAACATATATATTTACCAATTGATCTGTATATGTAAGTCTTTTTATAAAAGGAACATATCTTAAACTTCACAACAGTAGAATAGTCCAGACATCAACACTCTGTTTCCTATAAAATACAAAAAAAACTTAACACAGAAATAACTAGAACTGCCACTATCATGGCGTGAATACCCCAACATACCACTTTGTCAGAATCAACAGTGGCCATTTAGAGCTCAAGGACAACCTCCCTGCCAAATCTGAGGTTACTAAGCCAGTGCATTGCTAAGTAATGTATTCTACATGCTTCAAATGTGAAAATGTCAAAATCAATACATTGCGGACAGGACATTCTTTAGCAATTGAGAAGAAAAGCTTTTTTTGTCAAGGACCCTGTGACCTTGACCTTTGACCCAGTGACCTCAAAATCAATAGGGTTCACCTTATAGTCATGATCAACATCCATGCCAAATATGAAGACTGTGGGTCAAAGGAATCTTAAGTTAATGGGTGGACAAACTTTTTGAAGTCAAAGTCCCTATGACCTTGACCTTTGATCCAGTGACCTCAAAATCAAAAGGGGTCATCTACTAATCATGATCAACATCCATGCCAAATATGAAGACTGTGGGTCAAAGGAATCTAAATTTATTGGGCAGACAATCTTTTTGAAGTCAAAGTCCCTGTGACCATTGACCTGGTGACCTCAAAATCAATAGGGGTCATCTACTTATCATGACTAACCTCCATTCCAAATATGAAGACTGTGGGTCAAAGGAATCTTAAGTTATTGGGCGGACAAGCTTTTTGAAGTCAAGGCCCCTGTGACCTTGACCTTTGACCTGGTGACCTCAAAGTCAATAGGGGTCATCTACTAATCATGACTAACCTCCATGCCAAATATGAAGACTAAGGGTCAAAGGAATCTTAAGTTATTGGGCGGACAAGCTTTTAGAAGTCATGGCCCCTGTGACCTTGACCTTTGACCTGGTGACCTCAAAGTCAACAGGGGTCAACATCTAATCATGACTAACCTTCATGCCAAATATGAAGACTGTGGGTCAAAGGAATCTTAAGTTATTGGGCAGACAAGCTTTTTTAAGTCAAGGCCCTTGTGACCTTGACCTTTAACCTGGTGACCTCAAAATCAATAGGGGTCATCTACTAATCATGACTAGCCTCCATACCAAATATGAAGACTGTAGGTCAAAGAATCTTAAGTTATTGGGCGGACAAGCTTTTTAAAGTCAAGGCCCCTGTGACCTTGACCTTTGACCTAGTGACCTCAAAATCATTAGGGGTCATCTACTAATCATGACTAACCTCCATGCCAAATATGAAGACTAAGGGTCAAAGGAATCTTAAGTTATTGGGCGGACAAGAAAAAACCGACGGACGGCCGGACAAGCTGATTCCAGTATACCCCCCTTACAACTTTGTTGTGCAGGGGTATAAATACAGAATATATTTGCATAATACAATCTTTGAGAAAGTCCTGAAATCTATAATGTACAGTAGATGTTTTTCCTAAACCAAATATCACAGTGTATATTAATTTATCAATTAATTATTTCATTCATTAATTCAATTTTATTTATTCAGAATGAAAGTATAAAAGTATTTATATACTTTTGCTGAATGATAATATATCATATATACGAGAAAATAAAAAGAATAATACAACTCAAAACAAAATTGTTATTACTTAATAAATATCACGCATAACTGATTTTGAATGTGACTGTAAAACTGTTGACAAAATTTCACCATAAGGCCAATGATGAAATTGTTAAATAAGTAGAGTAGTAAAATAATTATACAAGTGTAAACCAAGAATATAATAGTCAATGCATTAGTATTTCTCATTTTAAAATCCTTAGTTAGAATTGACTGCACTGTCCCCTAACTACTGTCAAACATTGTTGATATGTCCACAGTCAATCGCCTGTAATTTTTCAAAGTCTCGGCAATTGATGTCACACGTTTGAATTGTGATTGCAAAGGCAAAGGTGGTATAAATGAAGTCATTTATTCTGACAACGTCTATTAAATAGCTCACGATGTTTTGGCGTATTTCTGTAAAATATACCAATCATAAAGGGCCTGTCATCAGCGCAAATTTATGCATTTTGCCGGGTGTGCGTTACCATGATTTTGAAATTCACAGTTACGGACAAGCTATTTGAGTTATCAGATAAGACATAGTATCAACTTATAGGTAATGTTTTCTGATTAAGTGCGATATATAAAAGTAATAGTTTGTGACAGCACAAGTCCAGTTTATTTATGATCATCCCTCGTATATATATCAGATGATATGGTCTATATGAATAAGATATAATCACCAATTTATTAGGATATTACTTATTCAACAGACCAGAAACATTTGAGCAATTCTTGAAGAGGACAACCTAATGATCATGGTGAGATGTGAACCCATGCTTTATTTTTCAAGCATTCAAAATAAAAGTAGAAAAAATAGTAGTGACGTAGCATCACATGTCTGTCAAACCACACACCACTTACTGCAGAAGTCATTGTGTTTATACTGTATGAATTGTTTAATTCACTGATATTGAGTGATCTATTATTATACTTTGGAACAAAATTTGTGGTAAAGTAAATTGACTAATAAGAGTTTTGTCTGTTGCATTCTTACCTAATTTCCATTTAACGATTCCCGGATGCTGGCAGGCAGTACATCTTAAATCTTTCCATCAAGAAAAGAGGTCCTGAAGAATACACAAAAAACAACTTTTGATTTTATCATATAACACAAAACTACACAGATGTAATAAATACACTTTGAATAATACCAAACAGACCATAGAGATGACTTGAATTGGGGTTCTTCAAAACTATTTTCTATCCCACACCAAGTTGGGTCTATTTCTGTACAGGGGTGACAACAACAATAGCCTTGTACGGAACATTAATCTTTCTATGTTGCTTTATCATTCACAATAACAATATCAACACATCAAGTCACTTAAAAAGCAAATTATTTGTATGAAACAAAAAAATATCAGTGATTGTTTCTATCGTCATGATGCTGAAATTTTAAGCACAGTGCTGTAACAGACAAAGAAACACATTTCAAAAATGTGCACGCAGATCATTCCATCGTTCAAATTTCTTGTAGCTAAAATAATTCAAGGTCACATGATCACAAGAAAACAAACATGTTTACATCGGTAAATTAATGATGAGAGAATTTACACACCTTTTTTAAATAATGAAACAACAAATTATAAAATATAATTGATACACGACACATGCTTATTAAGAAGACAGAGCTTGAATAGGTCAAGATCATGTTTTCTTGCACATTTAAGTGGCACAAATTCCGGGTATAATTTACTGAAAGTGGAATTTAAGGACTCATATTTTTTTTATTTTACCTGGCAACTGAATTCCACGAATTAACAATCTTACCGTTCACAAACCACCAAATTTATGCCCTGAAATTTAAATGATTTTGCAGTACCTTCAATACTTTGTGCTCTGGTAAACCAAAAACACAAACCTTTTCTTTAAACCTGCTATTACAGGTTTCCCTAGCTAACTTATAATTATAGAAACTTATATATCTTTGCCACATTCTTTTGCAATAAAGTACATAATATGTTGAAATCATATCACAGCCTAATTAAATTTAACTTGAACAAGTGCTGTCAGCAGAGAGGTGTTGCTGACAAACATTATATATTTGATGTTACAAAAACTTCCTTCAAGAAATAAACAATTAAGAGTAATTCTGAGAGTATTGGTTAAAAAAATGGCCATAATTCTGGCAAAATATCTAAGTTAGAGTTATGGGCCAAAAAATGGCCATAATTCTGGCAAAATATCTAAGTTAGAGTTATGGGCCTTGGATAATTATGCTCTTAAGTTACTGTGTGAAGTTTCAATTATTCCCTTTAGTAGTTTTGGAGATACCAACATGCATGCAAAAACTTACCAAAGTGTGACACCAATGCCTGGGTGTGTACAATAGCTCACAGTTGTAGACCATAATTGTAAACTCAAGTATTGCAAAGACATTATCAATGAGGCAATCATTTTGTGGGTTTTCATGGACAGGCTAATCCACATAATTGAACTTGACCAGTTATATACTTTTATGTAATCAGAAAAGTGTATTGCTTATCAAAATGCCCGAAAATAAACAAAAGTAAATGTCACATAAACTTTTCTAAACACTTACATGGACATTTCATAAAATCACCATCTATCTGTTCGATATTTCAATGTGCTATTGTCCTTGAATACAAGATCAAATGCCGTCCCACAAACACACTTGTCTAAACCTGTATTGTTGGCATCATGACACCAGCAACATGCTGGACTCACGTTTGTACAGATCTGTACATCTTGTTGCTGAAATGGAACAAATATAAACCTTTTCTCTACACATGCTGATCAACATTCCTGTAAGGTTTCCTGACTGTAGGTCAGTTACTTTTTAAGCTACGTGCGACACAAGAAGAGAACGGACAGATGGACGGACAAGGGTAAATCTAAATGCCCCTCCCCCTAAAGTGGGGGCACAATAACCAAAAACATTGCAGGAAACTGCAAGTACTGTCTCAACATGGATGCTGCTATCTTTTTTTCTTGGCTATATCCCATACTGAATGGTAATATTTCTTGAAATCAGTTGCTATCAAAATATTGTCATTTTCTTGGTTATTTTAAGTAAAGTAATATATTTTGTATTTCTTATTATGAAAATGACTCGTATGGAGCTAAAATGTGTCACACTATTATACCTATAGTATACTGTATTAAATTTCATACAACAATAGAAGTATACAAGAGGACCATGATGGCCCTGAAATCGCTCACCTGTATAAAGGCCCCTGGGCCAATGCCAATTTTAAACCAGGGACTTTTATTTGAACAAACTTGGTAGACAGCCATAAGAAGATGTATCATGATAAATATCTAAGCTCTAACTCTTAGGAGTTTCAAAAGAAGATTTTTTAAAGTTTTTACTATATAAATATAGGAAAAAACAATACCCCCCCCCTTGAGGGGCCAATTTTGACCCCAGGGCTTTTATTTAAACAAACTTGGCAGACACTAACTAGAAAATATTTCATGCTTAGTATCTAAACTCTAGCTCTTTTGGTTTTTTAAAAGAAGATTTTTTTAAGTTTTTACTCTATACAAAAGAATGAAAATCAATGACCACCTGGGGCGGAACCAATTTTGACCCCAGGGCTTTTATTTGAACAAACTTGGTAGACATTCACTCGAAGATGTTTCATGATTAATATCTAAGCGCTAGCTATTTGGGGTTTTGCCAACAAGATTTTTAAAGTTTTTACTATTTACAAATAAGGAAAATCAATGACACCTCGGGGCGGGGCCAATTTTGACCCCAGGGCATTTATTTGAACAAACTTGGTAGACACCAACTAGGTGATGTTTCATGCCAAATATTTAAGCTCTAAGTCTTGCGGTTTTCTAAAAGAAAATATTTTAAGTTTTTACTATATGCAAATAAGGAAAATCAATGACCCCCGGTGTCGGGCCAATTTTGACCCCAGGGCTTTTATTTGAACAAACTTGGTAGACATCCACTAGAAGATGTTTCATGCTTGATATTTAAGCTCTAGCTATTTGGGGTTTTTAAAAAAAGATTTTTTAAAGTTTTTACTATATTCAAATAAGAAAAATCAATGACCCCCGGGGCGGGGCCAATTTTGACCCAAGGGCATTAATTTGAACAAACTTGGTAGACACTGACTAGGTGATGTTTCATGCCAAATAATTTAGCTCTAGCTCTTGCGGTTTCAAAAAGAAGATATTTTAAGTTTTTTCTTTTGGTTGCCATGGCAACCAGAGTTCTGCTTGGAATTAAATTCTTTGAACAATTTAAAGTTGACTACTAAAGGAATATTCCTGTGAAGTTTGGATGAAATTGGCTAAGTGGTTTATGAGGAGATGTCGTTTAAAGTAAAAGTTTATGGACAGACGCCGGACGAAAAGCGATCACAAAATCTCAACTATGTCACTTTGTGACAGGTGAGCTAAAAAATCATTCACTACCATACATATTAAGATGTTATACTGCAAAGAATATTTTGCATGATGATAAAGTTTTTAAGGGGAAAAAAGATATAGTTGTGACTCTCTACAATGTAGTTTAGTATATAGTATAAATAACGTCATATTTTTCCCAAAATTGACTTTCATATATTTTTTCCCCTCCCTACTAGCGCCCAGCATCTCCCCCTTTTTCCTAAAAACCCCACTGGATTTGATGAACATGTGAAACTATTGTCTAATGATCTTTATATCGACTTTTGGTGAAATTAACTAGGCCACCATTGTTCATCGTTAAAACTTCATGTTGCTAACTAGTGTACAAAATTAACACATGAAACAGAAACAGACATAGATACATTGTAAATGTAATAAATAAGTTACCTTTATTTGTAAAGTGACTAGTTCTCCTTCAAGATTAACTCTGTTAGGTGTTTGAGCACGGAGAGCATTTCTCTTTGTTCATTTGTATAAACCGGATCTCTTCTTCCCCAGCTTGCAACTCTACGTTACCATTCCGGATCATTTCATCTACAAAAGATGATATTAAACTGATAAATCTATGAGAAAGAGCCTTAATTCCAAAAATATATGTGCCATTATTTAATAAGAAAAGGAAAGTTAATTGCTGCATTTTGACATTTTTCTGCACTAATTATTTGTAACTTTACCAAGTATTCAGAATACACAATTTGATTTTATAAGTTATATTGAAAAAAAAAGACATTTCAGAATGAGATTCATAATTGTCTGATGTCATTTTATAATTTAAACATGTAGTATGTAATTCAAAATGTAAATTGATCTCTTCATTTAATGATTAAACAAAAATCAAAGTATGTATACTTGTATTTTAAGATGAATGTACAAAAAGCTTTACCTTGAATGTTAACTTTTTCCTAGAAAATGCACACCTCCTCATTTCTTTCAATCAATTTTCTTTCTTTCAATACCTCTGTGAAAAAAAAAAAAAATACAGTAATAGTTAATTAAAGAAATGAAAAAGTTATGAAATATACACTAAGCAACATTTATCACCTCTGTTTGGTTGCTATAGAAACTTAATTTTTGAGGCCATTATTTACCTTAAAAAGTTTAATGAAGAGAATTATGTGCTTCTTATCTATTTAAACATTTTGTTCATAAATGTTCATATACATGTAGTAGGTCAGGTTGTTTCCCTTCTTTGTATATAAATAAATGTTCAGATTTTTGACACTTAGGTTATAAATTTGTTACTTCCCTTTTTTGTAGTACATGAAATTATAATGTGTTGTGTTTTGTAAAGTAGTTTGTACACAGCATATCAAGTATACTATAAGCGATTAAAATTGTCAAGGTAAAGAAGATCTCAGGTATAAGACTTTAATGATTTTGTTTTTGTTAATTATTCTGAATTGATATTTATGAAACTTAATGTTTAAAATAACATGTTGATATATTGGTTGTTTAGAAATAATTATAACTTTGGTATATAAGGGTAAATTTCATTGGCATCATTGGTAGCAAAGGTTGCAAAGCCACGCTACTGCCCCTTCTCCTACCTAAATTTGTTAGGTACTCTTTTATTAATAGTAAAAGTAATTTATTAGATATTCTTTTCTTAAAAGTAATAGTAAATAATTTCTCTTTTCAATTATTCTGAATTGAAAGTTCTTTGAATTTAATTGTAATTATTGTGAAGTAAGACTATTGTTTGTCAGATAATTGTTTGATAAATTGAAGTTTGTACATTTGAATAAAGAACATTATCATACATAAATCTGTATTAAAAATTGGAACTGTAAACTTGGTGTTTTGGTTATTTCCTACAGTAAAGGTTCAGACATAAAGAGACAAAGTGAGTCCAAGCTTCAGGCTCTATATAAATCAGTAGCAAGAAAAAGGGAGAGGAACTTGCTAAGCCCATTTGTGATAGTTTTGCAAACTGTCGCCTCGGAAGTAGCCCTCTCCTGCTACAACATAATATTTTACAAATAAAATTGACTATACATGAACAAACTAAATTTGAATCTGTAGATTTTTTTTTCTTAAACATGTTCTCTCCATTGACATAGACTACAAATGTTATCACAGTCATCCGGAAACAATCATACAAACCTCTCATTCCTATGTGTTATGGCTTTTTCATATCTATTTCTTAATTTTGTCATCTGTTCCTCTGCCTGATTAATCATAGTGTTCAATTTTGAAATGTCCATTTTCTGTTGTTCACATTTTTTAATGCATTTCTTTCTCAATTCTTTGCTGCTTGGCAACCTCATTCCTCAAACCATCTCTCATTACTATACTGTTTATATGTTGTAATCTCTGTTTTTATAGATGTCTGAAATATAGTTATCAAAATGAAATGAGCAGTTTATGTTATAAAAAGAGACATACATTCAAATGACAAAATACTAATGCAATCATAGCAGATGAAATTTGTAATAACATTAAAATGTAAATACTAAAATCGATATACTAACAACAAAAAGGAAATATATGACACCAGAAGGTGAATACTTCATGTTCAAAATAAATGTAATGATATCATTATAACTAATAACATCTTCATTCAAATCCAATGATATCAAAATAGATAATATGCCAACAAAATCAATGTGCTATGATATCACAATAGATAATATGACAACAAAATCAATGTGCTATTGATATCAAAATAGATAATATGCCAACAAAATCAATGTGCTATTGATATCAAAATAGATAATATGACAACAAAATCAATGTGCTATTGATATCACAATAGGTATGGTATCATAATGATCATGTGACCAGATTTTATACTGTTAAAAAGTATAAACCTATGTAACAATACAAAATTCATAGTTACGTGGTACACTTGCATTAACAGTTAGAATAACTCCCAGAGGCCTATGGGAAATTAAGATTTCAAAAAAGTGAGGGGTAATAACATCATTTATCCACTATGACATCATAATTTATATACTATGACATCGTAATTCATACATAATGACATAATAATAGGTGATATAACATTATAATTTAAATGCTATCATAACAATGATTTGACATCACAAAATATGTTATTACATCATTATTTAAGTTTTGACAATAGAAAGAAGCATTATAATTAAAATGCTAATATCACAATTGATATAACAACTTAAGATATAGCAAAAATGCATCAACATTCCAGTATCTCTGAATGACAGCAAAGCAAGTGGTGTAACATAATTATTGTTCATTCTAAAATCATACGTACCTGTCTTTTTGAGTGACTGCTGTGTCATTCTGTAAGATCTTGATCTTCTCTCTCATTTCTGCCGCTTCTGTGTACATGTCTGAATAAAGTTCACACACTTGTTACGATCATTCTTTATAACATCATACAACTTGGCAAAATCTGCAATTTTAAGTCACCCATTAAAATACCTTTTCTATAATTTGTACAGATTACATATCCAAGTTTTATTAATTAAGAATTTTTATGGCACACAAATTGCTACAAATTTATGCTTAATCATGAATTGGAAAATAACTAACGAGAAAACACTTTGATTTCAATCCAATTCTTTCTCTCAAAAATGTAATAAATAAATATCATTCTAACATGCTTCACACTATTCCCCTATCAGACAGATAAGGCAATCAAGTGCATTTTTACGCAACAAATTCAAATGCTTACATGTCATATGACATCAGATATGAAGTCAATAAGCCAAATGACGTCAATGTAGTTCAACATATATTTATCAATTTTCTTTTTTAAAAGGATGTTAGAATGGAAATAAATATTAATTTTTCTTAAAAAATAGTAAAATAATGCACAGTTTATTATTACAATGCTTGATAACTAATTACTTTGGCACATCATGATATTCTTGAGAATTTGAACTCAGTGCATTATTCTATAACAATGCAATCAAAATTGATACCTGTTTCCTAAATAGACCCTTTGATCAAAGTGAAGTAGATTATAAGTATGTATAGTTATGTCTAACATATAAATCTATAGTAACAATATCGACATTTTATAGAAACTTACTTGACTTGACATCTCAGCACGCATGAAATCTCGAGCTTTCTGTTCCCTTTCATCAGCCTAATGAATCATTTTGTAAGCAACTTTAAATATCTACACTTTATATTCAAATACATGTGCTTGACAAGCTTATATAAACAAGTTGTCACCTTATTGCAGTAACGAGTTAAGTCCATCTAAATTTAATAGGAGTTAACCAGTTATTGCACTAAGGTGATAAAGTATGTGAAAGAATGAAACAAAGAATAAAAACAGAGTATTCAAAACAATAATGATCAAGGATGTATATAGTAAATGAACTGTAAAGTGCATATATCTGTGTCTTGAAAAGTTAGCGAATCTAAAATTCCAGATATTTTGCATGAGGCAATATTAGAAAATCATGCAAGGGCAGAATTTAATTACTGGCTGGGTGATATCTGTTCTAGAGGAAATTTTCGTGGTTTTTGTCAATTTGCGAAATTTGCCAATATTTCCGCTTCGCTACCTTAACCACTTATACAGGAATGTCATAAACATTGCTCACTGAAAACAGCAAAACAAAAATAAAGAATCAAATCAAAGAGTATACTGTAATTAGTTTAGAAAACAGGATACAATAAAATACCTTAATAGCAGCCAGTCTTGTGAGTTCAACCACTTCAATTCTAAGATCACTTTGTTCATACAATAAATTCTGCTCCTCTGCTGCACTAGCCTCTAGTTTAACATGCCTCAACAGCTGTTACAGAATTCTGATATATATATATAACACATAGAATGTTATCATTCTAAACTGATGAAAGCTGGTTAATGTTGTTTTTTAAATCTATAAACTCAGTCTTTAATAATGTTAGTCTGGGTAGATTTTCAGCAGTTTTAAAACAAACAAAGAGTAACTGTAAAAAAAAAAGTCAAGTTATATTTTAAATTGATCTAAAAATTTCAACAAATATTTTATTTTCAAAAAATCACATAAAGTAAATGAAATAAAAAAAAATGTTTTATACATTATTATGTCAGCTAAAACTTATAAGTTATTAGAAGGATTTTAGTTTATTCACCTTTAGTTAAAATTGGCTAATAATGTTCTTTGACTAATGAAATTTAACATTTACAAATGATCAGCAAAATACAATATTTATACTTACATTTAGGCAATATACCTATGGTAATTGAAACAGTTGGGAATTAAGTTACAATGTTCTTTAAGCAAAAAAATCCTTAGTCAAGACCTTACTAAAATTTTACTTTATTGTGTAATGAAAGAAGAATTTGTACACATAATTATTCAGAAGTGTAAAAAGTTTCAGATTTTCTTACATCTTTTTTCTTCCCAGTTTATCAGCTTCTTTTGCATTCTAGTTTGGAACAGTGTTAACTTGTACACACTTCAGTGTTGTTATATTTTCTGGTCCTTCGGGATCATTGATGCCAACACTATAAAGTGTTGAGAATTGAGTACCGCTCAAGCCGGTGCTAGGGGGCGTGAGGGATGTTGCACTTATTCATTATCCCTCATGTATAGACTCAATCAAACCGAGTCTGCAATTCTTATGTTATTTTGTTGTTATTAATGCTTCCGAGGGATCACTTTGTTTCCAGAATTTTGTACCAAATCACCCTGTCAATATATAAATCTGATTTTAAAAATTACATTTTATTTTAGCCATTTCTTTTCTTTCTTTTTTGTATAAGAATTTTAAGATTATATAGTCTGTTGATCAAAGAATAATAGATAAAATTAAATGTCTGTTCAGTAATCACAAGGGTTTTTTTCCCCTGAAGAATTAAATAAATTTTGACACAATACTGAATATATGACAATCTAGATTTTTTTTACAGAATGCACTCACTAAGTATCAAAATAACTCCAAAAAAAAGTTTGTTTTAATTTTCTTAAACAAAAAAGTAATACTTACAATAAAAATTTGAAAATATCAACTTTAACTTGTTTGTTAATATTTTCAAAATGTTTTAAATTTCATAGAATTTTAAAACCAACTTTTGGCCTAATCTTTATTGTGTCCTGCCTACTTACTTCTTAAAGAAAATCCAATACTACAGTTACAGATCAAACAAGAACTATCACTAAATGTGATTCATACCCCCACAAGACTGCTTCGGAAATGAGGATGTTACTAGTAACAGAATACCTTGTAAAAGAACTGAAATATGGAGTTATGGTTGTGGGCAATTAAAGATAGTTGTGGTTCTTGTATGTTGCATTTCCTTTCAATGTGGTTGGCCATTGATGAAGTTTTATAGAATTACTCTGTAATAAGTCCAGAAAGACAAGGAAAAGGAACAAAGGGCAATAACTCTATAAATACTGAAGATGGAGTTATAGCTCTTGTGCACTGCACTTCCTCCTATTGTGCTTGACCATTGTATGAAGTTGTTTTGAATTCCAACCAGTACATTTTAAGTTATGCTCCGTACAAGGAAAAGTATCAAAGGGCAGTAACTCTGTATTTTGTCAAAATGGAGTTATGGCTCTTGTGCTCTGAACTTCCTTTTAATGTCTTTGACAACTGTATGAAGTTGTACTGAATTCCAAACAGTAGTTTTCAAGTTATGCTCTGGACAAGGAAAAGTAACAAAGGGCAATAACTCTGTAATTAATCAAGATGGAGTTATGGTTCTTGTGCACTGCATTTCCTCTGAATGTGCATGACCATTGTATGAAGTTATATTGAATTCAAACCATTAGTCTTCAAGTTATGCTCTGGACAAAAAAAGCAATGGAAAAGTAACAAAGTGCAATAACTCTGTAATTAGTCAAGATGGAGTTATGGTTCTTGTGCACTGCGCTTCCCCTTATTGTGCTTGACCATTGTATGAAGTTGATTTGAATTCCAACCAGTAGTTTTCATGTCATGCTCTGGACAAGGAAAAGTAACAAAGGGCAGTAACTCTGTAATTAATCAAGATGGCGTTATGGTTCTTGTGCACTGCACTTCCTCTCAATGTGCTTGACCATTGTATGGAGTTACAATGAATTCCAACAATTAGTCTTCAAGTTATGGTCCGGACAAAAGAAAGCAATGGAAAAGTAACAAAGGGCAATAACTCTGTAATTACTTTAGAAAGGGTTATGGTTCTTGTGCACTGCACTTCTCCTTATTGTGTTTGACAATTGTATGAAGTTGTTTTTAATTCCAACCAGTAGTTTTCAAGTTATGGCCCGGACAAGGAAAAGTAACAAAGGGCAATAACTATGTAATTAGTCAAGATAGAGTTATGGTTCTTGTGCACTGCACTTCCTCTCAATGTGCATGACCATCGTATGTAGTTATATTGAATTTCCAACCATTAGTCTTCAAGTTATGCTCTGGACAAGGAAAATGCAATGGACGTCTGGACCGACCGACCGACCACCGGGTGACTCTTATATACCCCCCACAAACTTCGTTTTGGGGGGTATAAAGATATACATCTACAATTTACACTGTTAGTGTATTGTACAATAATGGTAAGGCTAACCTGAAGATTTTCCATTTTTTCAGTGAGTTTTTCATATTCTTTACTATCCATGCTGACTTGTCTATTAAATGTATCTACATCATCTTTCAATGTTTTAACCTCTAGCTGTCTCTGAACAATTTCTTTCTTTATATCATCACATGCTTGTTGTAACTCTTTGATTTTCTTCTCGATTTCCTGAAATACCACAAACATTATATTACTAAAAAATTACCAAAGTACAAACTGCTAAATTTATACAACGGACCTGTCTTCTTTAAATTTCAATTTGGAATACTATTTAATAGAATATAATTACTTAGATGGAATTTTTTTACAAAAACAACAACCCTTCAATTGTTTTGAAGATACCAACTTGCACATAAAAATTTAACCTAAGTGTGACAGCCACGACAAGATAGATGCAGGCACCTGGGTGAGCACAATTGCTCAAGTTAAGTTATTCAATAGACAAGCTAAAAAAAAATATTACTATTTCAAATATATTATCAAATAATTTTGCTTTAAGACACATTTGCACAGGCAGAATTCCTGAAAACTATACAAATGTGTTGTAAAATTGTATTACTTCATATTGTCACATATCAAATGAGTATTTGCTTGGAGCCAATGATTAAACGTCTTACCAGCTTTTGGCATTCTAGAGTACTCTCTTTTATTAATTTCTTCTCCTCTGTAGAGTTATAATATATCAAAATTATTACATTTTAAAGGAGTCAAAATAACAAAACAACAATAAAGAATTACAAATACATGTGAGAGAAAATTAGAAATGATTATGGATGCTAACAAATAAATGTTAAAAAAAAGGCAATAACACAAAGAAAACAAGAGCACCGTTAGGCGGAACATTATATGCCCGGAAGTGATTTTCTTTTTCAGTAAAGATGAAGCATTTGTAAGACATTGGAATTAAATAAAGTATTACCTCCTTCAAATAACAATCCTCCAAGGAAGTTTGAATATTGTGGGCCAAATGGAACTTAAGTTATGCTCTGGAAACTGTTTTTCAGTTTAAAGGTAATAGTAACCTTGACCTTTGATCTTGTGATCCCAAAATCAATAGGGGTCTTCTACCCGATATGCACAATCATCCCATGAAGTTTTAACACTGTTGGCCAAATGGAACGGAAACTGTTTTCAGATTTAATTCAAAAATGTAATATTGAAATGGATTTAACGGATGATAATTTCATATCTTACAGTCAATCTCTGGGTAAACATTTTTTTCAAATTAAGGTAACAAAACAATTAATGCAATTTTTCTGTATAGATGGTTAAAATAAAACATGTTACATATTAATAGCTGTTTGTTTATGGTAAAAATAATTTACAATTTGTACATTGTAGATTATCTGCTAAAATGCATGTTCAGAAACAGCAAAAGTGTGACAAATTAATTTAGTTACTTACTTACTTTTTAAGTATTTCATGTAAAAACTCTGTGTACTTTGCTTTCAAATGGGCAATTTTGGTACCAGTCAGCTTTCCTTCATGAAATAACTGAAATATTCCAGTATGTTATAAATATTCTTTTCCATAGCAACTCACTTGATACTTGGTAACGTGGCCTGTCTAATGTAATAATCATTTTAAACCAATCTGACCATTTAAGAAAAAGCATTGTCCCCAGATAATAATCAATTTTCATTAACAGTGTTGAGTGAGCACATTTATATTCACATATTTATTATTAAGTTTATTTCAATTTTGAAACAATATATCTATCACTTCAACGTTTCAATTAATAAACAAGAGTCATACAGAATTATTATTGAAAGAACATTACCATTACAGACAAACTATTGTAAAAAGTCAAAATGATAAAGATACATGTAACATACAGAATATATCTTAATTAAGGTCAAAATCTCATTTTCCACAAAGTTTTTCAATATACACATATATAGAAACTTCAAGAAAAGTCATTTTAGTGTGATTTGAGTACATAAGATCATTTTTAATATTTTTGTCTTTATTTTGCCTGAATATTCCTTTAATGGAGTCTTTTTCATAGTCATTTGCAATCAAAACTATACACATAAGGAAAATCAATGACCCCTGGGACGGGCCAATTTTAACCCCAGGGCCCTTATTTGAAATTGGATTGAACAAACTTGATAGACACCAATTAGACGATGTTTCATGCTAAATATCTTAGCTCTAGCTCTTTAGGATTTTTCAAAGAAGACTTTTAAGTTTTTACTATATACATAAAGGGAAATATAAAATGACGCCCCTGGGACGGGGCCAATTTTGACCTCAGGGCTTTTATTTGAACAAACTTGGTAGACTTTGACTAGATGATGTTTTATGCCAAATATTTCAGCTCTAGCTCTTTCTGTTTTTTTAAAGAAGATTTTTAAGTTTTTTCTTTCGGTTGCCATGGCAACCAGAGTTCTGCATGGAACTAAATTCTTTGAAAAGATTTTAAAGTTCACTACCCAAGGTACATTCTTGTGAAGTTTGGATAAAATTAGTATAGCAGTTTATGAGGAGATGTTGTTTAAAGTAAAAGTTTACGGACAGACACCAGACGGAGCAAGGACGCCGGACGAAAAGCGATCACAAAAGCTCACCATGTCACTTTGTTGCAGGTAAGCAGCACTGAACTTTCCATTATAAATTAAGTAATGCTTCTTAATTACAGCTGCTACAAGGAAAAACATATAATATATGACTTACTTATTAAAGGGACTCCACTGAGGTTTTTTGACATGATGGGACTGGAAATATTTTTTTTGAGATTAATACTCCATTTGATGTAGATCTAAACTAATAACTTGTGTGCGAAATTTCAGAGCTTTAGCTTGCTCCGTTTTTCTAGAATAATTATTATAATAGTGAAAAATGACCCAAAATTCGAATTGAACTGAGAATAAGCACAAACATGATTTTCAATGTATTTCTTGTGTATTTCTTGGTTATATTTTATTAATATTTCTGTTTCAAGTGCTCATGTTAATATCTATGTGAATTTTTTTTTATGTTTTAAGCTTATAAACCTAAGTGGAGTTCCTTTAAATGATAGCAATAGTATCTTACAGAAATTTACTGTAAATAAACAGCTTTTGCTTAAGTTATGAACCTACTCTTATACTGATAAATTTATTTCAGTTATGAAAAGCTATGTAAATCTTTCTCAAAACATGAAAACTGTATTCACTTCCTTGAAATTATATATTGTAACTTAAACACTATCATGAAGATTTACAACATAGTATAACATAGTTAACATTTTTGCAAATTACCTAAATTACATATTTACAGTTGAACTTTGTTAGCTTGTCCTTGGATAGCTTGAATACCTCCCTTGCCTTGACCCCATTGCCCAGTCTTTGCCAACTTCCTATGTTATATATATTGTTTTACCTTGGATCACTAGAACACAGATTGCTGGAACACTCGAACCTGATCGCTGGTCACTTCTGCAGAAATATAATGTAAATCACATCTCGGTAAAACACAATAAGACAACAAAAGTTGTGGGTTAACATGTTCTAAATTAGTGACAGTTGGCGTCACATGTTTTTTTAACACCTTGTGATTGTGATAAAGGCAATTAAGGTTAATTGATACAAAATTAGAGGTGTTACCAATTTGTTTGTTATGATAATATTGTTTATTTGCCGTGTTAAGTAACAATACAAAGAAAATACCATGTGAAATAAATAACTTTTTCCAAGTGTTATCGGCTTACTTTAACTATAAACTCAGTGAAAAGAAAAAAAAGAAAAAAAACAAAACTTTCTGTTAGTTTGTAGTATTTGAAATGTCTAATAAAAGCATGCCCAATTTATAACACATATTTAAATGTTTTTCATTGTATCTACTGTCTAAGTCGATATATTGTCGATATTTGTCTCTCGATATATCAATGCAAAATTTTCCATCAATGACAGCCCTAGTGTACTGTGAGTTATTACTCATTTGAAAACACTGTAATGTATTCTTTACGACAATATTACTTAATATTTAGAAGAAATGACATTTTCGACAAAATGATGTACTAACAAAAAAAATGGAAACGTATAATTTAACATGTGACCGATGTATGTGAGCTGGAAAACCTTCAGACATATGTCAGATGTAAGATATAATACAATACATGATAATAGTTCAACCTCGGTTAGCTGTAACTACAGATCTCTGGAATAAATGTGCTGGCCCTGCGAGATTGAGAGAACAAAGTTTTACTGTATATATTAATATATAATATTATCCAAGCATTTTCAAAATACAACTTCAGTTTTCATAGCCTACATATCAGGCCAGGACAATTTAACCTTAAAAGGAATTTAACCTTAGAATTTAGTAACTGGAGATATTTAGCTACTGTGGTGCTCACAGACCTTGGTACGAGATAGGTTGAGTACGTGAGTAAATGCTTCATAACCTTGATTGGCTGTAACCCCTGACAGGCAAAGGGCCATTTGGGATTCTGGGAAAGTGATATACCTCTAGAAGCAGCCGAATGCGGTGCTGCAAAGAGCAACATTGACATAGGTGAAACATAATCGATTCAATATGACGGTATAGTACATCCGCTGGTACAACAAGACTCTAAGATAAGATAGTACAATAATTACATATATCAATATGAGATAGGAATTACTACAACTACCATCAGGACACAATACACTAAGATCATCTACTGAGACACGTGAGCATAAAATTGGTTAATGAGTATTATGAATGCCCTAGAAATTTTACCTTTTGTATTATCACTAGGATTTCAGCACATATGTTTAAATTTCTACTTTCACTTTCAATTTATATACTGGCGACAAAACAGTAAATCATGTGGTGTTCTAATGAAAATTACAGGACATCGAAGTTAATCTACATATTGTGTCAGCTATTTAATCCTTCCTGGCCCCGTGTTCACTAAGAAAAGATCAGGATCAGGATCAAGTGATCCTGATTTTATTTTCATTGTTTAATGTTACTAAAATTATTTGTGTTTTGTTGAATTAAATTGTAAATATTCAAAATGTAAAAATATGCTGATTTGCAAGGAAAACAAACTATTTTGGGATAAAAATCAAGAAATAACAACACACAAATACAAAAATATTTGGATCAAAATAAGGATCAATTTTAGGATCAGGATCAATATTTGGATCAACTGTAAAATGCCCATATCTTGCAAAATTAACAAATTAATTTATTCTAAAATTTCATATACTTGCTATTTCAAGTCCAGTTTTATCAAATTTATAATCAGATATTTATCTATGAGGATAAACAATGAAGAATATCAGGGTTTTTAAATTTGATCCTGATCTTGATCCTGATCCTTGAATCTTTGTGAACACGGGGCCTGACTCCTGAAGATTTTCCCTAAATGTTATCCTTGGTAGAATCCTGTGTTTTTAATCTGTGTTCGTGACTTCTGTCAAAATAGTTAATCTCAAGATGTTAAAGTTTGGTAGATCTAACACAACAATTTTTGTGACATAATAGCTGACAGTTAATTTATATATTTGCTTGATTAAGCTGTTTAATAAAACTTTAGAAACTTTAAAAGGTATTTGTAATTTTTCCGTCCTTAATTTCTTTACCTTGAAGTTCAAACTGAAGACACTAAATAAGCAGATGACGTGTAATGTAATCACGGCGAGCAGTCAAAAGAAATTAACTGTCTACATAAAAACAACACACAGCCATAGAGGGCAGTTGCTGTCTTCATAATCAAATATTGCTTTTACCTCATTCTCTTACTGATAGAAGAGATCGCCATCATCCCAACACAAACTTCTGTCTGAAAAATGCCATCTGAAACTGTAATAATACTTAATGAAGAAATGGGTAAATACAGAATCAGATGTTTTAAAGAAATACCACAAAAGAAAAATGACTATATTATTAATATATTGGCCAAATTTTGTACCATGAATTGTTTAATAGGTATAGTAGCAGGAACTTTGCCCGAGGATTGAACTAAGGGCCACTGGATAAATAATCTGATGCTCTCTCTATTGAATGTCCAACTAAAATACATCAGTTTAATAAACAAAGTTTATAGAAAATTTCTTAAAATTGAAACAAAAACATTGTTGAAGATCATTTTAAGCATTGAATTATTAAAGATAACGTTTAACGGCGACACTTTAATTGCTGCAAGTTATCCAATATTAGCACATATTCAATAATTAGAGTACTAAATAGAACTCCAGGTATTTGTTTATGTTTGAGCAGAATTATGATTGATAGATAATGTCAAAATAACGAATGAAATAAAATAAACGACATCGCCTGATCCAAACATTATCACAACTATGAAATCTTGAGCCCTGCAAATTATCCCTAATTAATATAAATAATTTGAATATTGTTTAACTGGGTTCAATGAACACCATGCTAATTCTAATGTTGAGACAGATTAATCCATATATCACAGTTATAAATATCAATTAATGTCTCCCGTTATATAATGTGAATAAATTTACTACCTGTACATTTCTTCACCATATACCACATATAACTGTTTATAAAAACTCTGATCTAGGATAGCTTGAGATCAAGGGATCAAAATAAGATTGATCATACCCTTCCCATGATCAATATATAGTACTTCTCTCCTTGAAATCAAGAGTAAATAAGATTTACTGATACACCAATTTTTTTTACACTATTATACTATTATATCTTTATAGATTGATAATCTAAGTAAGGGATTAGTATATACTGATAACTCTTTATAGTAAATAAAGAGGAGAATTGTATATATATATTATGTATGCCAGCCCACAGCACAATAGCTTATATGATATCCATTATCTTATTCACGTATCATTATTTTCCACATATATTAACTGTATCTATAGGAGAATATAACATATAAATGAATATATATTACTACATATATTACTCACAATAGAAAAACTGATTTCTTCATATTTCTTTGATCAAATACACATATAAACATATATTCTCATACTTTTGGCACAGACTGGTACAATACATTTAATGTAAGCCTACCCTTGCCAACTGAATAATATAATACAAAAACATAACATTGTAGAAATATATTATTAATATATAAAGAGAAATAAAAAAAGAACAGCGAAAAACCAATAATAGCTCAAACAATACACAGAGAACATATATACATAATTTGGATGCACATATAATATCATCCGATAAATAATAACATAAATTACATGTCATCAATAATACTCGGTGATATAAGATAACAATATTGAAGATTATTGTGTGTGATATTTACACTTGACAATATTGATAGTGCTTCATGCAATATATACAATTAATAAGCCAAGACAATGCAGTAGGTGCGACATGGTGTCGACCTCTAGTGAGCCAATTTCAATGATAATGAGAAACCATTTATAAGACAGAACAGAGAGACAAGCAACCAAGACGTAAGACCAGATAGAACAATAGAACATAGAGATACATAAATCTATACCTGATAATTATGAATAATAATATGATTCACAGTAGATATAAAGAGGAGGTAGTCCGAGACAGCTATTGCTATTGCAAACACACAGCACCCATATATTTCAAAAAAGGGCCATACAAAATACTAATACACACATAGAGCGTATAGACAATATAGACGCGAGACTATAGGCTCAGATACATCTGAGATATAGAATATTCTAATAGAGAAATGGCTAGGGAGTTATAGAAGGATACCGGACCACTTATATAAATTAATTAAAAGGGGCCTAAACAATCTGCAAGTCACTTGAACCGATGACTGCATGCACAGACTAGAACATTTAATGTAACTGTACATTTATGGATATAAAAAAGTGAATGAATTGCACCAGTAAGTTATTGAGGGCAAGTGTACACGGACAAGCATTTGATGTATCATGGACAACAACACAGAAAAACACACTTTATTTATCAAGGAGACCATAACATACGGACTAATCTATCACCGGAGAACCCGATGCAATATGCGCAGACTTAGAGCATAACAGATCAAATCCTGATAAAAGTTTCATTGAATTCATTTAGAGTAAGAGAAGATGTCCGGCACTTATAAAATTAAATATATATAAAGGCACGTAACTACTGAACAAAATTTAGAACCTGAAATGCATGACATGCACACTAGACTGAAAAGAGTACTAGATACAATAATACAACATAGAGAAAAGATAAATATAGAGATGAAGATAAAGCCAAAGCAGTAGTTGGGAGGAGCGATAACACAGAACAAAGTATATAATGTAGAAACGGAGCAGACGCACGTAACCGGACCAAATGGAATAAGGGCAACTATTCTTATAGTTATAAAATTCATATTGTTATTGGATCCAAATGCCCATACAATCATTAGATATACGAAAATATAGAACTCATATTGTCTCTATATATCAATGTTCTAGATAATATAAGCGACAAAGAAAAATGCCCGCATAAAATACCCATAATAAATACACGAAAGAACACCAGGTAAGAATAGACAGGAACAAAGACAACCAGCGACAAGAGAGATAAGAAATACACACAAAAATAAATGTCGCACCTAACATAACCGTAAGAGAGCACAAACAAAATAAACCAGATCAAACTCATATAATAGATTATACTATTGCGATGATCAATACTCAAACAATATATCAGTATTCATGATATTTAGTTTATTATAACTTATCATGAGAGAGACGTCGTGACCGAAAGTAAATAGGTAAAAGATACAGATTGACTTACAACACATACAATTGCATCCCCCAAGGCTGAGAGTATACGAAATTACACAGACATGACTGGTTCACATTTACCATGTGAAGGAGCTAATCCAGCTAAAAGAAACAAACACACAGAACTTCGGTAGGATTCATACTACAAGATGCACACGTATCAAGATCGACAACTGAAATTATAATCACTGAAGGCAGCCTAGTCTTCCTCACACCAGATAAAACATAAGTATGAAAAGAATATACAATAAGCAAAAATAGATACCCACAATTTCACCCCATAGATGAAGTATAATCTCTATAATATCGATAACGTATAGAATAACAACAACAGTAAATAGCAGATCAGTGACACTATAGAAACAAGGATAAGATACATGTGATGAATAAAATAGATAGAAAATACAATATAGAACATAAGATCCGAATACCATCATATATCTAAAGTGCTATGCGCAGAGTGACTATACTGCTCAATCTGTAAGTGTAGCGTTACTGGAAGCTATACACTAACAGAGCGGCGCTTCGATAACCCATATTCATTTATATTTTATTCTATATTCATACATATCTGACATTTAAATAATAATATAAAATTCCAATGCACAGGTATTAATGAGACTTATTATGGGACTAACTCGAACACAGAACAAAACTAAATATAATCTACAATTATAGCGCAGAACACGACTAAGTTAACAATAAAAGAGAAAGAGAGTGATATATAAGAGATATGAAAACAAGATGATCGATATAGAACGAGTTGATTGAGCGAGAACATAAGCTAAGAAATTATATAAACACATAGTCCAAACAATATACCTAGTACATATAGAATATAATCGTGTATAGGACACCTCGGAACAACCAAAGATAGTATATATGCAGAGACCTATAGTCTATCTAACCACCGACAGATGATAGAGACTAAGAGAAAGAAAATTTGAGAAAGCACATTACAGGCAATATGAATCAAGCCCACAATTAGGATGAAAAGTACTACTAACAAGCACAAAAAATACTATATACTCGTATAACGATAAGAAAGAAAGATATGAGGTCTCTCAATCATAACATTGGACCACAAGAACATGGAGACAAACACCGACAGCGCGACTGACAAGTAATCACAAGAGGTTATTATATATACATGTATACAAATTATACAAAGAAAAAAAAAAAAAAAAAAAAAAAAATACAAAGGGCCTGATAAAAGTATTACCCCTTTGTGCGATTTGAACTTAAGACCTTTCGTATGCAAAACAAGTAACATAACCACTGCACTATCAGGTTAGATGATATTCAATCACCTGTTATCCAGGTAATGTGTTTTCGTATATGATTATTTTCCTGCCACTCCTATGTAATTTTAAATTTAAGATTTCCCATTCTCGATCCTATTTGAATCGACAATATACTGTGTTGGTGTGACTTAAACCCAATCAAACAAACAAACATACTTACGTGAACAAGCATACTTGACTAAAGTAGGGTTTTGTAAGCTAAAGTCAGTAGCTATACCAGTATCTTGGAATAACACTTAAAGGGACTCCACTGAGGTTTAAAAGCCTAAAAACCTAACATTTGAATTTCTTACAAAAAAAAGCTGGGGCATGTCAAACAGACATATATGCAAAGATAGTTAAGAAATATACTTTGAAATAAGTTGAAAATCGTACTTTTATGCTTTTCTTAGCCCGATTTGAGTGCAAATCGTTTAAACACTTTTCATTTTAAGTCATTTTTTACAATTTGAATAATTATTCTGGAAAGACGAAGCGCACGAATGATCGGAAATTTTGCACAATGATTCATGGTCTAAGCCTACATCTAATGGTACATTTATCTTGAAAAAATATTTTCAGTCCCTTCAAGTCAAAAAACCTCAATGGAGTCCCTTTAATGCCCCTGGTGTTCGAAAAAGCCTGTAGACAAAATAAAATTAAACCAACGACCTACCATATGCCTGTCACAATTTTACTTTTCTGTTTTGTTTCATAGGCTCTTGTACATGATTTTCTTGTTGCTCTGCTTTCCTTAAAACAACATGGATTTTCCATTTCTTGCTGTTAAGTTTAAGAATCCAATTATCTGGAGGTATGAAGACATCAGAAACCCAGCCTGAAATAATTAAAGTCCAATAGCATAAAAATTTATACTTATAATGAAACTCCCAACATGCCATATAATAACTATGCTTATTTTGGTCCACTAATAGTCATTGATTCTCC